AAAAATGTGGTACACGTAATATTTATATATATCATAAAACTTTTCTAGTTTTTAATATTAAACACTAATGGGATAGATTATATGAATTAAAGAGAATTAAGGATGTATATCTAAAATGTTTCAAAATGATAACAAAATTATGAAAAATTACAGATTATTCTAAATTGCATTAAGAAATAATATAACAAATTTTATTGGTGATAATTTACTATTTGGATCACAAGTTATTTAAAAAAATTAGTAGTAACAGTTTTTAAATCTGTCCTCTAATAGAAATGTGTATGTGTGAATATGAATATATATGTATAATGTTTCAGAAGTACTTTATGTATTTACAATTATTAATGTAAAGTTACGATGCAATGTATGGATTAGTTGTCTAATAAATAAACAAAATGTTTATTTATTTTAAATCTTAATAACCAATCAGTAAATCGCAATAAAACTTTGCATAAGTTATTTTGAATACTTAAAGTATTTATAAAAAAATTATTGTTATTATTTTTAAATTATTAGTATATAACAATAAAAATAATAACTTAATATATAAACAAAAATACAATATATAACTTAATATAAATATAAACAAAAATACAATATATAAACTATAAAAATGTGTTGTACAATAAAAATAGAATGATATGAACATAACTTTATATATACATATATATATATATAGCTTAAAGTGTAAATATTAACACATTTGTAAGAATGACTCAGATACATCTTTAAAGGAGAGGAACACCATTCTGAAATGGAGATCCGAATATCATGTGTAATTTTGTGAATTTTTTAAAGTAAATTATAAAAGAAATTAATCTATTTTAAGCTCTTAACTCTACATATGTATATCAAAATAAATAAAATTTTTTTACATATTGTATTAAAATAAAATGACGACACTGGAGCTTTTTCAACCTTGTTATTATTAAAAAATCCTATTCTCCGCTGCTAGCAGTTCACTATCGTGAACAGTGAACCAGGATAAGTAAACCAAACATTTTTATAATCTAGATGATATTTACTTTGAAAATACATACGGATATGTTAAAATATGTTTTTTGTGGAAATATAACAGTCATTTGAAACAAGGTAATAATCATTTTTAGCCAAGGAACTAAAAATTTTCTGCAACAAAAAATAAATATTTCAATAAATCGCAAAATCCATATTTCTGTAGAGAAGCTAGCATAGAAAATCCTTTTCAAATTTCAAGTGAATTGAATAAAAATTGTTACAGTTATGTTGCTAACCAATTTGAAAAAGTGATTTCAAGAAAAACGCGTTTCAAGTTTTGCTTTACGACATTTCATATATAAAATTTAAAAAGAATTTTAGTGCCATCTATGCTGCTTTGTGCCAAGTATACTGAAACTTATACTTTGTCTTTAAATGTCTTTTTTATACGTACTTTATAAATTCAAATGTTTTGAGTTGTTTCGAATCGTTCTAAAACGCTGACGTTGCGACGCGCTTCATCAAATCGGCTTTAAACTTATTTTAAAAGTTCAATTTCGTATTGAAAATTGTATCTTGTTTTTAAGATTATAAAGTGTTGTTTAAGACAAAATAAAAATTTTTATTTTTTTAACTTTCCAAGATGACGTTCCTCCTTAAACTTAGCCAATATATCAAACAAATACGGAAAACACTTAAAATACGTTGTATCCTTCCAATCATAACAAATTTCAGTTGAAACGTTGACTTTTTTCCATCATATTTAGAGCTCCTATAGACGAGCGACTTTATAGCGCCACAATCGAAACGCCGCGCCGACCCGTTCATACCTGATAATAGGATATACCCTATTATTATTAATATTTATCCAAGTACCTTTCGTAGAAGAATATAACATATTTATTTTTGACAAATTTTCAAAAAGTGAACCGTTTGTGTGTATATTTATGTGTTTGTAATGATGAGTGCACAACAAGTACAATAATAAATTATGTATACAATGTAAATAAAATAAAAAGCGTAATAATCGCGGAAAATTGTATTATTAAAATAAGAAAATAATAAGTTAAAATTTATCTGTGAAGTATTATTGTAGACGGATTATTGCGGTTTTAGTTATTATATTTACACAACAAAGTATTAGTATTATAAATAATGTACATAAAACAAAATAATATTATTACGTTTCTAATTGTGATTTACACGATGTTTTACAAATAAGTATATTTGAAATGCATTATATTTATATCATGTTCATTAGTCTTCGCGGTAATTTAAGTGAGTGAAAAGAAATGTCGACAAAATGATATTATCCGTTGCATATAATTTTAAATCTTTTAGAATTACAAATAGTTTCATACTGTGTGCGTGTAAAATTAATGATTTCTGACACATTCGCATTCACAAGAGTACATCGCGCGATTCGTTGATTCTTTCTTTACTTTGTCAAACAATTGGATCGTATTACTAATGTAACTGTAATTAATTACGTTTACAGAATTCAACTTGATCGTGTATTGAATAGATATTGGAGATCATTAATATCAGAGAATGGCAAGTTACTTTTCAAAAGTAATTAGTTACGATAGTTACTGAATCTTAAAAATAACTCTTACCGTTACCTTACTTAAAAAGTAACACTTGTAACGTTTCAGTTACTTTTTTCATGCTGAAATAAGATCAGTCTAAAAGATGCAGGTATTGCAAATACATCTTCGGTATTCTTTTTCTAATGTTGGTATTCTTCAATATTCTTTATAAATTTATGTTTACAGTATTAAAACATGTCTTCATAGTTATGAGAATGTAGTACATAGGATATATTCCAAATTTGCGAATCAAAATGTCATAGTTAAAAAGTTCTCAAAGAAATAAGTTATATACATAAAAGTATTTGCTATAATTGTTGTTTAGCACGATATACTTCTTTAAATATAATGGTTTAAAATTAGCAATTTAGATAATATATCGATACTTTATTGTTTAAATGTAATTGTACAATATGGATGTTGTACA